GTGTTTTATTGGTATTTTTCTCATATTATTATTATTATTATTATTATTATTATTATTATTGTTGTTGTTGTCACCTTTATTATTGAAGTATGCCTAGTATTATAAGTATCATATTATTATTATTACTAATTAGTATTACTATTATAAAAATAAGTTATCTTTAATTTATTATTGCTGTTATTATTGCTATTATCACCTTCAATGTTATTATCACTAATTAGTATAATTAAAATAGATATTTAAATATCGTTATTATTACTATTAGTATTGTTAAAATAAATATTACTATTAATATTGTTGTTGTTATCACCTTTATTATCGTTATTATGACTAATTAGTATTATTAAAGTAAATATTTAAAAAGGACCGACATGTCACTGGTGATTCACGTCATTGGATGCATCCATGTCACTGACGGGTTTCAAACATAGCCCCCAATGGTTGAACAAATATGAAGGACTGAAGTCTGCCACTCAACAATACCAATTGTTCCTATTGTGGATAATTGATACTAGATGCTGCACCCCACCTAATTTTAACGTAGGCCTAATTCTTGGGCGTGGTTCTGAAGAAAATAGTATCGAAATGCACGCCATCGTGCATTCATTTGATTTTAGTCGGATTCAAAATAATTTTTTAATATCTAAAAAAAAAATCATAATGTGGTTTTTCTATTTCAATTTTTTATGATTTGGTCTACAGTGTGTACTCATGTTTTATGTCAGTGTTTTAACATGAACAAAATTAAATATTAATATATGTGTTTTTCTTAATTATTAAGATTGCTTTAAATTGTTAATGTTACAATTGTCAGATTTTATTCCATTCTGTAAGTGGCGGGTTTTCTCTGTTAAATAAGAGTACAGTGTGAAGAAATGGATCCAACTCGGCCACAAGTCAACTCGGCCACAGTCAACTCGGCCACAAGTCAACTCGGCCACAAATCAATTCGGCCACAAAAAGTTCGGCTGCAGTCAACTCGGCCACAAGTCAACTCGGCCACAAGTTAACTCGGCCACAAGTCAACTCGGCCACAATTATTATTATTGCTGTTATTATCGTTGTTTTTATTACCGTTAGTTTTAATATTAATTATTAGTCTTAGCATTAACATTATGTATTGTTTAAATTTTTGCTGATATTATTATTGTTATCATATAAATAATAAAAAATTCTCGATTTTTTTTATTCATATTATTATTATATATTAGTCTTAGTATTATTATTTTAATAATAGTAATTTTAAAAATATTGTTATTGGTGTTTTATTGGTATTTTTCTCATATTAATATTATTATTATTATTATTATTATTGTTATTATTATTGTTATTATTATTATTATTGTTGTTGTCACCTTTATTATCGAAGTAGGCCTAGTATTATAAGTATCATAATTATTAGTATTATTACTAATTAGTAAATAATATTTGAAAAGGACTGACATGTCACTCACGTCATTGGATGCATCCATGTCACTGACGGGTTTCAAACATAGCCCCCAATGGTCGAACAAATATGAAGGACTGAAGTCTGTCACTCAACAATACCAATTGTTCCTATTGTGGATAATTGATACTAGATGCTGCACCCCACCTAATTTTAACGTAGGCCTAATTCTTGGGCGTGGTTCTGAAGAAAATAGTATCGAAATGCACGCCATCGTGAATTCATTTGATTTTAGTCGGATTCAAAATAATTTTTTAACATTTAAAAAAATCATAATGTGGTTTTTCTATTTCAATTTTTTATGATTAGGTCTACAGTATGTACTCATTTTTTATGTCAGTGTTTTAACGTGAACAAAATTAAACATTAATATATGTGTTTTTCTTAATTATTAAGATTGCTTAAATTGTTAATGTTACAATTGTCAGATTTTATTCCATTCTGCAAGTGGTGGTTTTTCTCTGTTAAATAAGAGTACAGTGTGAAGAAATGTATACAACGATCTCACGACGATGAGACGATGATCAGAATTTTACTAAAACATACTGTGTACTTCATTTTAATCATATTGAAGAAAAAGGATGCAAAAACTGGAATATTTTACATTTCATTAATTATAAATAACTTGTGGCCGAGTTGACTTGTGGCCGAGTTGACTTGTGGCCGAGTTAACTTGTGGCCGAGTTGACTTGTGGCCGAGTTGACTGCTGCCGAACTTTTTGTGGCCGAGTTGATTTGTGGCCGAGTTGACTTGTGGCCGAGTTGACTGTGGCCGAATTGACTTGTGGCCGAGTTGACCTGCTTCCAAGAAATGTATACAACGATCTCACGACGATGAGACTATGATCAGAATTTTACTAAAATATACTGTGTACTTCATTTTAATCATATTGAAGAAAATGGATGCAGAAACTGGAATATTTACATTTCATTTTAATTATAAATAGCTTGTGGCCGAGTTGACTGCAGCCAGACTTTTTGTGGCCGAGTTGATTTGTGGCCGAGTTGACTTGTGGCCGAGTTGACTGTGGCCAAGTTGACTTGTGGCCGAGTTGACCTGCTTCCTCTGCACTGACTGTACAGAGAGAGAGAAGCGGTCGAGTCACATGCACTAAAAGAAGGTGTGAGTGAATGGAAGAATTGATCGTTGTGTTTATCTGCATTCCAATTGAAATCAACTTTAACTAGGCCTAGATTGAGAATTTATTGAAGATGGATGACGACTTTCCAGATAAAATTCAAACAACTACGACAACTACTGCTCATCATACCACCAACCAAGGGGGAAGTGGTGGTGGCGGCGGCGGCGGTGGTATCACGGTTGACAAGGCATATCTGCGCTCGCTACCTGCTATTCTACACATTGTACAGATAGTAAGATTTGTATTTTCTCGGTGTGGTTCTCTCCTTGCAGGCTTAGAGGCTAGATAGACCGGGAACCCAGAAAATTTAATCATGTGAAAAGAGACAAAAGGTTTAATGGTCTGGTCATGATAGTATAGGGCCAAAAGAGGGTGCAGGTCAACTCGGCCACAAGTCAACTCGGCCACAAATCAACTCGGCCACAAAAAGTTCGGCTGCAGTCAACTCGGCCACAAGTCAACTCGGCCACAAGTTATTTATAATTAAAATGAAATGTAAATACGGTATTACAGTTTCTGCATCCTTTTACTTCATTATGATTAAAATGAAGTACACAGTATATTTTAGTAAAATTCTGATCATCGTCACATCGTCGTGAGATCGTTGTATACATTTCTTCACACTGTACTCTTATTCAACAGAGAAAACCCGCCACTTACAGAATGGAATAAAATCTGACAATTGTAACATTAACAATTTAAGCAATCTTAATAATTAAGAAAAACACATATATTAATGTTTAATTTTGTTCACGTTAAAACACTGACATAAAACATGAGTACATGTTTGTGGGGTGCAGCATCTGATATCAATTATCCACAATAGGAACAATTGGTATTGTTGAGTGACAGACTTCAGTCCTTCATATTTGTTCGACCATTGGGGGCTATGTTTGAAACCCGTCAGTGACAAGGATGCATCCAATGGCGTGAATCACCAGTCACATGTCGGTCCTTTTCAAATATTTACTTTAATAATACTAATTAGTCATAATAATGATAATAAAGGTGATAACAACAACAATATTAATAGTAATATTTATTTTAACAATACTAATAGAAATAATATGGTAATAATAACGAGTTGACTTGTGGCCGAGTTGACTGTGGCTGAGTTGACTTGTGGCCGAGTTGGATCAAATTCGGCCAAGATACAATATTCAGCATTGCTGTCGGGGCGCGACATCCTGTACAAGCGGGCTGGGGGAAATGAAATAGGAGGTTAAATAATCATAATGCATTTAATCATGTGGAGAGAGACATGGATAAAAATAATTGGATATTACTCCCAGGTAGATACTTGCAATAATGTCACATGTGACAGCAACTTTTACCTGTACGTGACCTTATTAAACAGTGACATTAAAGGCCACGCCCAAATACATTTAATCATGTGAAGAGAGACACGGATGAATTTTTTTTTTATTGGAACTATTATACATTGGGGTAACAAAAATACTAATGGCAGCAACTTTATCCTGTACATAAGCCCAGACAGCAGCCCCAAGCGACCCATGGGGGTCTTAATATAGTAGCAACATGATAAAATCAAGCAAAGAGAGACATGAATGAAACCAACTAGGAATTATTACTTGTACATTGTAGAAGGCTGAAACACCGATGACAGCAAGGCTGGGTAGCCTATAGGCTCGGTGTGAATCCCTTGAATTTGTAGGGTCTGATTTTTGTCGGTTGGTTTACACGCCGGTCCATCAGTCGTTTTTTAAGTCTCGGTCGTTTTGTACCCTGCCTTTAACTTGGCCTATGTCTTTGATTTTTTTTTCTCTTAAATAGACCTACACAGTAATAAGAATGAGATACCTAACTGTTTTCAAGAGTGAAAAAATCTTTAATTTTTAAAAACTTTAAAAAGTCATTAAAAGACACCTCAGAAGTCGAGAAAGCTCATTTCCGGCCATCTAAGAAACCAAATTTTTTCGGGGGAGGACCACCCCTTCCCCCGTTCTTTTTGGGTTTCTTTTTTTAAACATTTTGAATCCCCATGCTTCAAATCCTGGATCCTGGATAGTGATTGATTCTTTGGTTTTATCTGTTTTATCTTTATTATATGTATTTTTAGAAATGAAAAAAAGGAAGTGGATATATTTACGTCGCCGTAAACAAATCAGTAAACGATATATTTGTATTTTATATATAAATGAAACAACGCATGCGCAGTCATACTTTAATAAACTTGCATTTATAGCACTGCGTGGCCTCCAACCCGCGGGGATTCCCCCAAGTTCACCACGGCACTACTTAATTTATAATTTTGTTTTTTTATTTTTTATTAAACGTAATTTAATTTTCTACAACAGCACAGTATGTAGTTTAATCACTAAATAAATTATTAAATCATTGTGTTAACTTTTCAAATAAAAGTGATATTATCAGCTGGAAATGTTATGTTCATTTTACTCAATCATTTGTTGAATGAACACACTTGACCTAAATACAAGGCCTAGGCCTACGCGAGGTTTCCTTGCTAAAACTCAATTACCACAAAATCAAGACGATATTCTTCTAAGCCTACCTGTATTGTTATACGATAGTCAATCATCACAAATTAAATAACATCCTAATGTTTTCATTCAAAAAAAATTTACCCACGTCGTCACTAACAAAAACAACATCGTTATAGTCTTTAGTCGGGTCGAGCAAAGCCCCAGCGATTGCGAAGAACATATTGGAGAGCACATTCTGTAAGATATTTAATCATTACGAAAAAGTGAGACCAGGGAGATGTAAAAAATACATAAAATACATCTCCCTGGTAAGACAAAACAGATTTTTAATGTTTTATTCAAACATATTTTCCCATGTAGTCTGATCACTAACAAAACAACATTGGCATGCTGTGCATGTGTCTACGAAGTATGGATGCAGAAAGTGGAATAAGCCCTGCTCTACGTTGTGGTCATGATGTGAGAAAGTGAAACGAATACTTCTAGCTCATTATCACAATCATTCAATTATTTTATTTTTAATTGAAATACATAGGCTACTACTGTAGTAAATTTAATTACGTTTAGTAAGAACGGTAAAATTATAATTTAAATACTGTACACCTATCCGCTAGTAGTTCACGAAAATTCATACAACCAATTTGGGGATTCCCCACGTGCGTTGATTTGCCGTTGATTCGATTGTGTGTTGTTCAATGGCTTTTTAAAGAGTAGAAACCATTTCAACGGTAGCGGAAGCGGGGGAGGGGGCCATTGGCCCACCCACTTTTTATACTGGGGGCCCCTGGGCCCACCCCCCCACTTTTGTGACTGTTCCCAGGGGCGGATTTAGGGAGGGGGGGCCGGCCCGGCCCCAGCCCCCCTTTTGGGAGGTAAAAAAAAGAAAAAAATGATAGCCCACAACGCCTCAAATGTTATTTTCGGGCGTCTAGAACACAAAAATTCCGGACCCCCTAAGTCACTGTTGTCTCGATCAGCCAAAATTTCGGCCCCCCCTTTTGGAAATCTCTGGATCCGCCCCTGGTTCCAACCACCAGTGACAAACATTTTACGAACGCTGCAATGTCGTCATTATTATTATTATTATTATTATAAAATATATACTCTTTTTGAGTTTGTTTGTGCATCTGTAAAGTTCGCCTGCATTTGTGAATTCTGTATTTAGGCATAATATGAAGGTAGGCACTCTTAATGGAGCGATGTTCTAGTTCTCTTTATGCTAACCACGAAGATGTATAGTAAGTGTAACTGATTGGCTTACAGTAAACCTTAAAACCAGCGTAATATAACCACATGTAAGTTGTCTGAAGGTTAACTACAGAATTTACAGTACACTGTAGTTAATGTGTTATTATAGGTTGTAAAACTGTATTGAGTAAAAAAAAATGTACTTTTAATCTGAGAGTGCCATTTCCGGCCATCTAGAGGTGCCATAATCATAATCAACAGTTGTGGGGCTGAGGCGGGTGGACATTCTATTTACGCAAGACTCTCCCTGGAACCCCTCTATTTCGACTTCGTGGACCCGCCACAATTGGAGTATCATTTCTGAGCTTAGCTTATAGAAGGGTAATTTTTATCCATTGGGGGAAAAGTGAGGTTTTCGTCAGGGAACCCATATCAAGGATAACCCTCATAATAAAAAATTCATTGAGGTCGTGGAAGCAAGCTCGACTTCGACTTTGTTCGGAAATCTGTGGCGCGTTCAAGGGGAGGGGGAGGCTAATTCATTTTTTTTTAATGGAGATAAGGAAAATTATATTCAAATTTTAAGTCTAAGAGTGTAATTTCCGGCCATCTAGAGGTGCCAGTAATCACAAATTTTCTTACCTCAGCCCCAACCATGGTGGGGCTGAGGTGGTATGGATC